CTCTCCCACTAGTCTCACTCACGAGTACAAAAACAAAAGCATCCCTCTAGCCTTGGCAGCCACAAAACATATATTCTCCCTTCCCCAACCTAGGACCACACAAAAGACAAAAGCTAAGGTCCTACCCAAGTCAACCTTCTAATTGTCAGAAGAGGGGGAATTACCCCCGTACTCCTGCGTACATAGGTATGTCTAATCGGAGGCCTAACATCACCCCTCGGGGGTCCAGACACCTTGTCCTCAAGGTGGAAGTTTGGGAATTGGAGCTTGAAATTCTCAAGGTTTTCCCAAGTGGCGTCGCCCTCATCTGTATGTTTCCAGTGCACTAGGGCTTCCAATTCGGTAGTGACGCATTGTGGCGAAGGGCCAATACTTTGTGAGGTTCAGGGAGGACTTCGAAGTCATCCGTTAGTGGTGGCACGGTTGGGTATATTTCTTTGCCTGGGCAAATGACCTTTCGCAACTGTGACACATGGAATACCAGGTGGATAGATGCTTCCGTTGGGAGCTCTAACTTGTAGGCGACTTTGCCAATCCGCTCGGTGACGGTGAAGGGGCCGAAGAAACATGGGCACGGCTTTTCGTTCCTCTGTTTAGCCATCGAACGTTGCCTGTAGGGTCGTAGTTTCAAAAAAACCTGTTCTCCCACCTCGAATTCCACCTCTCTGCGATGTGCATCTGCGTACTTCCGCATACGTTCTTGGGTTAGGATCAGGTTAGCCTTCAACTTGTCCAGGGCTATATCCCGCTCCTCGAGTTGTTGATCTAGCGTGGCGTTGGTTGTCCTTTGGGTGCCATACAACACGAGTGGGGGTGGAGGCCTGCCGAATACTGCCTGAAATGGGGTGGTCCCGATGGAATTGTGGAAGGTGGTATTATACCAAAATTCAGCCCACGCGATCCAATGCCCCCATTGCTTAGGATTCTCACTGCAAAAACAACGGAGGTAAGTTTCCAAACATTTGTTCACAATTTCCGTCTGGCCATCAGTTTGGGGGTGGTAGGCCGTGCTTCGGTGTAGCTTAGTGCCCTGCAAACGAAACAATTTTGTCCAAAACTGGCTGATGAAGATCTTGTCACGATCGGAGACGATGGTACGGGGGAATCCATGTAGGCGCACAACTTCTCTCACAAACACTGCTGCCACTGTTTTTGCTGTGAACGGGTGTTTCAAGGGGATGAAGTGAGCGTATTTGCTCAAACTGTCCACAATCACATAGATCAAGTCCTGTCCTAATGACTTAGGCAGCCCCTCGATGAAGTCCATGGAGATGTCCTCCCAAATTCGATCCGGTATGCCCAAGGGTTGTAAGAGGCCGGCGGGTGCTACTGCGAGGTTCTTATTCTTCTGACATGTGTGGCACTGTTCTACGTACGCCTTAGTCATGGTTTTCATTCCCGGCCAATAGAGCTCCCCCGTTAAGATGGTGGGAATTTGTAGGATGGTGGGAATGAGAGAGGAATTTCGGGATAGGACCAATCTGTCCTTGTAGCGTAACATACCCTGCTGCAACGAATATCTTGGGACGCTGTCGGGGTCCTTCTGTAGCTCCTCAAGGATTTTAATGAATTCAGGGTCCTTGGCTACTTCGGTCTTAATCACGTTTACATCGATCAAGGTTGGTGCTAAAAGGGTTGCCAGCTGACCGATATGTGGAAGGCGTGAGAGGGTATCARCGGCCTTGTTTTCCAAGCCGGGTCGATATTGGATTTCAAAGTCGTATCCCAGCAATTTCGATACCCACTTTTGATATTCGGGTTGCACGATCTTTTGTTCCAACAAGTACTTCAGAGCTTGTTGATMGGTTCTCACTATGAACTGTTGCCCGAGCAGATACGGTCTCCATTTCTGAATGGCCAGGACAATGGCCATCAATTCTCTTTCATAGATGGGTTTAAGCTGGGCCTGTGTGGAGAGGGTGTGGTTGAAGAAAGCTATTGGTCTCTGTTGCTGGGATAAGACGGCACCTAACCCCGTACCTGATGCATCCGTTTCGATGATGAAGGGTAGGGTGAAATCTGGTAGCGCTAGGACTGGCAGGGTCACCATGGCATTTTTTAGCTTTTCAAAGGCCTCAGTGGCTTCGAATGTCCAGTGGAAGGCATCCTTCAGTTGCGTCAAAGGGGCTGCTATGGATCCATAATTAGAGACAAACTTGCGACAGTACCCTGTCAAGCCTAAGAATCCCCACAGTTCCTTGAGGTTCGTAGGTTGTGGCCATTGGAGCATTGCTCTAATCTTTTCAGGGTCTGCTTCAACGCCTTCTGCGGACACCAGGTGTCCCAGATACTCGATCCTTTCCTTGGCAAACTGACACTTCTTCAAGTTGGCACAGAGGGAGTGATCTCTCAATATGTTGAAAACCACAGTCAGATGGTGGATGTGGGCATCTGCATCAGAGCTATATATTAGGATATCATCAAAGAAGACCAAAATGAACTTACGTAAGAATGGTCGAAATATTTGGTTCATCAATGCTTGGAACGTGGCAGGAGCATTGGTTASACCAAATGGCATCACCATGAACTCATAGTGACCCTCGTGTGTCCGGAATGCTGTTTTGTGCACATCTTTAGGGGCCATTCTGATCTGGTGATACCCTGATTTTAGATCGATCTTCGAGTACACCTTCGAGCCGTGGAGTTCATCTAGCAATTCCTCAATGACAGGAATGGGAAACTTATCCGGTATCGTAGCATTGTTCAGGGATCTATAGTCTACACATAATCTCCAGCTACCATCTTTCTTCTTTACTAAGATCACGGGGCTCGAGTAAGGGCTGGTACTCGGTCTAATCACTCCGGCCTCTAACATCTCACTGATTAGTTTCTCTATTTCGGTTTTCTGAACATGGGGATAGTGATAGGGTCGGACATTGACGGGTGGCTGGCCATCTTTCAGTTGGATTCTGTGGTCAATGGCTCGACAAGGGGGTAGGGAGGAGGGTGGTTGGAAAACCTCCGGGTAGCCAGCTATTAGATTCTCGATTTCTTGTACCCGGCGGTTGGGAATGATGGCCTCAATAGCCTCCTGTCCCTTCGGTTGCACAGAGAAGGCCCTGAGCTCCACCAGGAATCCCTGATCATGTGTTTCCCAAGTTCGCACAAGCTTCTTGAGGGTCACCTCCATTCTCATCAAGGTTGGGTCTCCCTTGAGGGTGATTCTGTGGCTCCCATTTCGAAAAGACATGGTAAGTGCCTGCCAATCCACCTCCATCGTTCCTAGGGTGCTTAACAATTGCATCCCCAGCACCACATCCAGGTTTCCTAGCTTAAGGGGAAGGAAATTTTCTCTTATGGTTAACTTCGGGAGGCAGAGGACGATTCCCTTGCATATCCCCTTGCCCCTTACGGCTACACCCGTGCCCATTATTACTCTATAATTGGAGGTCTCGTGTAGGGGAAGGTTGAGCGCATCAACTAACTTCTGTGATATGAAGTTGTGTGTGGCTCCACAGTCGATCAAGATGACCACCTCCTTGTCCTCGATCAGCCCTCGCAATTTCATGGTCCCTGGAGTTGAGAAGCCCACAACGGTGTTTAGTGCCAGCTCGGCGACTTCCTCTACGGTGGTGGTTTCTCTCCCTTCCATACTCATAATCGGCTCTTCTTGATCCAGTTCCATGCCTTCGTCGTCGTGCACTACGAAGACCTTCAGCTCTTGGTTMTTACACCTATGCCCAATGCTGTATTTTTCCTCGCACCGAAAACAGAGCCCCTTGTCCTTGCGCCACTGGTACTCTGTTTYCGTTAGCTTTTCTTGTGTATGTTCCTTTCGTAGCGGTTGGGCCATAGGATATGACTTACCAGATAGAGTAACCGTGCGAGTTGTCACTGTCTCTAATGTCTTGGGAGGTGTTTTTGGCGTATTTGCCAGTGTCCTAGGACCCAGACTTGGGCTTCCATCCCTTGTTGTATGGATTGGCGAATTCCTATCTTCAATAAGTTGGGCTTTTTTCATGATTTGTTCGAGGCCCACCAGTTCCCAAAGTTTAAGTTCCGCCCTGATGTTGGGTTCTAACCCGTTGATGAATGTACTTTCCATAACATCCTCAGCTATATTGGGCAAAGAAGCTGACCAAGCTTTAAATATTTGCCGGTATTCAGTGACCGTACCCTCTAGCTTGATGGAAAGGAAGCAGGAAAGAAGATTTTGATCTTTGGAATCACTAAACCGCTCAAACATCCTGGTTTTCAGATTGTTCCAATCCTCGAATGGTTGCCGGTTTTCCGACCAGCGGTACCATTTCATAGCTGCACCTTCAAAGCTAATAATTGTCATTGTCATCTTTTCCTCCTCACTCAGGTGGTTGATCTCAAAGTATCTCTCAGCTCTAAAGAGCCACGAATCTGGGTCGTCCCCTGTGAAAACAGGCATCTCCACCTTTTTAAACTTGTTTCGTTCGACCCCGGACCCCTCAGCTTTGCCCGTTGATGAATCGCCTTGTTGCTCATTGTTCCCTTCGGGTTGTTTCCTTTTCAGGGTTGAACTTCCATTCTCCGCCGCAGCTGGACGCGGGCTCTTCCCTTGGGACACTTCTAGTATGAATCCATCCAACTTTCGTTGAGTTTCCTCATTCTTGTGACGTTGTTCGATCATCTGCGCCTCAGTTCTCTTACGTTGTTCCTCCAGTTGGGAACTAATTTGTTGTAGGACCTCCTTGATTCCACTCACTTCCTTTTTGGTCGACTCGCACCTTTCCTCTAGTTGTTTCGTTCGCTATTCGCACTCTTTCCCCGGTCGAACGAGCTCTGATACCAATTTGTGAGGTAGCTCCCTCACGCTAGGTACTTAGATTAACAACAGAATATAGAAACAAGCAATCGTTCGAGAGGGTTGCGCTCTCCCACTAGTCTCACTCACGAGTACAAAAACAAAAGCATCCCTCTAGCCTTGGCAGCCACAAAACATATATTCTCCCTTCCCCAACCTAGGAYCACACAAAAGACAAAAGCTAAGGTCCTACCCAGGTCAACCTCCTAATTGTCMGAAGAGGGGGAATTACCCCCTGTACCCACCCCTGCATACATAGGTATGTCTAATCGGAGGCCTAACAGATACCTTATAATGAGAAATGTTTTGGAAGATCTGACCAAAGCACATGGATTATAATAAAACTTCAAAAAATATAGGACTTAATTGAAATGAAGGTCAAATCATAATCATAAAGAACTTAAATGGTGATTAAACCATTCTAGAATTATATTTTTTCCATCCTTTTAATTACATGTCCATAATTAAATTTGTTCTCTATTGAAATAACGGTTCTCTTTCCCCTGTTCATTTAGATACTATTGTGAAGGTTGCTTATTTCAGATTGAAGACAAACTTAASTTACCTTCACTTGAGGCTCATTCTTGGTAAGATTTTATTTATTTCAGATCCTTGTAGATTTTTAGGAATTGGTAATGACCTTCATTTCTGTTCTTGTAGCTGGAATTGAGGCGCTTTCAAGTTTCCAAAAGTTCATGCATTTTACGTATTCATTGTGTAGAAGGTTCTTTTATGCCATGAAAAGTATGCCGATGCTTTCATTCCCGTATCATATGAGACCCTCTTCCTTGACTTAGACCTTATAATTGGAAACTATCAGTTATTAAAGGATGGTTTCTCAAGTTGTATTTCTTTGTTTATGTCTTGACAAAAATACAAAGGGGCTCAGATAGGATAGGATAGGACTGAATGTAGCCTTCTCTCATACTTCAAGGCACTTGATTGTCAAATTTTTTGGGACTATTGAGTAGGCATTTTGAAGATTCAAAATTCGTGTTAATGTAAAGGTTTCGAAACTTTTTGGTTCTGTACAGAAGCAAGTTAAGTTAAAGCTTGCATCTTTGATGAACCTCGAGGCCTTACTTCTTTTAATATATTTCGAAAGTTACCTTTGAACTTGAGACCTGTTCCTGGATTATTCCTGCATCTATTTTTGTAAATCTATATGTTGGGTGCTTTAGAAAATTGCATATCTTCTTGTTCAAGTAAACTTTGTGAAATAACTTATGTTAAGAAAATACAAGTATGGACACCTTTGAGAGAAGACACTTTCACACTCTAATCCTCATTCATTTAGCTACTTCACCAACATAAGACAAGCTTCCTATCTGTAGGCAAGAGATCTTCGAGATCTAAGTAAATGATATTTTTCTAAATCCTTCTTAGATTCTAACTATCTTAGATATTTTTTTGGGAAATCCAACCAAATCCGAATGAATTCTTGAATTTCTTGTCTAGAGCATATTGAGATATTTATTTACAACGTCTAAGATATTTAGAGGTGGCCTTTGGTAACATGATGTAGATGAAGTTCATTTTTGCCCCTTCCATCAAAGGATTATGGCTTAACTTTGAGTTCTTGGTACACATTGATATTCTCAAGCCCACGTAGGAAGAAGTTGCCAGATGATACTAGTTGAGAGGCTGATAGTAGATTTTTCATCATCCTAGGTGTACGGAAACATTATGTAGACTCTCTTCCTTGTTTTTTCCGAGTTCTTTCATCTCCTTTAAATCCTACTTTCGTTTGACCTCTTCTTTGGCCACTAAAGAGTGTCCCTTCATTATTCGTCTTTAACAAGGCCTCTAATATTTTCTTTGCCATTGCTTCTTGATTGGCAAGTAAATTTTCTAGGTCAGTAAGGGATGGTTGGATTGGCCAATCTTGAACAGTAGCGATAATGCTTCTATACTTAGGTTTAAGTCCATGAATAATMATTCTTCTCATTATTGATTCTGAAATAGTAGCAACAGGATCTAATTCAGAAATTTCACGGCAAAGAGATTTTACCTTGTTGAAATATTGATTAATTGTCGTATCTCTTTGAGCAACTGATAGAAGCTTGTTCTTCAAAAGCCGTAATCTTGCATCATTTCTCTTTAAGACGAGTGAGGCCAACGTATCCCATGCCACTTTAGGAGTCTCTGATTTTCTAATATGCTCTTAACATTTCTTCATCAATAGTAATTTTAATAGCAAACATAACCTTCCCTGCCTTAGTCTTCCATTTCTTCAAGGCTGTAGCATCTTCAGGCGGTGTGACTTCACTGCCTCCCACAACTTCCCATAAGTCTTGGCCTTGGAGATAAGATTCCATGCAACTAGACCATGTCTTGTAGTTTTGAGTGTTGAGCTTTTTGATTCTTCCAACAATTTGAAGGTCTCCCATGCGCTTTAGTGACGAGCACACCCCACTAAAAAGCTATGTTTTAGGCAACAAGCTTCACAATCTCGATTGTACACGAAAGAGCTTTTATTAAAAAAATACAAGTACAAACACTTCGAGGAATCCTCGCTCATTAGCTACTTCACTTGTTTGCCTAATATGGTGGGACAAGCTTTCTATTTATAGGCGAGAGATTGTTGGACCCCAAGTAAAAGACATTTTTCTAGACTCTTCCAATATCCTAAATATCTTAGCTAGTTTCCTGGGAAATCTAACRAAAGCATAATKAAGTCTGTAGAAATCTTTAGAGTTCAAAAGATATTATTAAAGTCTAAGATATTTCAAGAGAGAACTATTGTGGTATATTTGAAATATGTGTAAAATATCTTAGAAGCTTCTAGAAGAGCTGGTGTTGTACTTGTGTATATACTTTAATAAACTTCTTCCATCAAGAAAAAGTTACAAATAAACATTCCATTACTTGGTCACATGCAAAAGAAAAAAATTACTTGGGTTGGGGGAGCAATGGTGTAAGGCAACAAGCAAAATTTTCTTTTTCTTCCATTTAACAATAGTGGGTGTGAGATSTTTACACTGGGAGCACAGGTCTGGATCTTGAATCGGATGATGAATTCTCTTATGGAATCGGAGGGASTTCCTAAATGACCATACCAGGAAATTCTACCGTACTCCGTGCAAAACATTAACCATAGTGAGGTACTTTATCAAAGTTTGAATTTGAAATTTATACTAATGATTCCATATTAAAGGCTAAATATGTTGATACTTAGGAAGCAATTAAAGACGTTTTATAACTCGAGCAGGTTCCTGTTAATCTTGAAAGTGTTCAAAGCATAAACAAATCTGCCACCCTTAATTATAATTGTATTGGTATGATCTATAATTTGAAGGGATTTAGAAATCACAATACAATGAAGCTTATTGAGATTGAGAAGAAGCATTGTGACTTTGATTTTGTCATAAGGGGAGATTGCTAGAGATTTTGCCTTAAAACCTTCTAATTTACAAATATTGAGTATGAACAAAAATAATTAAGGTTAAAATAMTATTACTTTCCACGGGTCTATTTTGGTCTCCAACCTTTTAAAGAGTGGCTATTTTGGTCAGTATTTGCAAAATTTTGACACAAATTTTATTCGAAACAAAAATCTTTTGATACAAAGTTATGACAATGTTTAAATAACTTTATTGAGTATAGTGTAGAGTTGAAACTGAGATTGAAAAAAATACAATAAAAAAGAATATGATAAAGTCAAAACGGTCAATTTTAAAGTACAATGACCAAAATTGATAGAAGTTGAAAGTATGGGACCAAAATGAACGATTTGGAAATATAATACCAAAAAAGCTACAAGTTTAGGAAYGAAAATAATATTTAAACCAATATTTATTTATTAAGTACAATTTTTATTGGATTATTTATTACACGAAAATTATCACGTTAATTTTAAATAATATGTAATTAAYAGAATATCATGTTCAAGAAGTTAAAGGGATATGGGTAAGGTTGGGTGTGGAATCCTAATAACATTTTTTTTTATGTTGGTAATTGGTATGACCTCTTTTATAAGAACTAAAAGTTAGTTTAACCAAATCATTTATTGAGATATACAAGTAAATTGTATCATATGTAACAAGTCTAAATGAGGTATAGGATCCTGCACTTAGTAACAAAACATAAATTAACCTCATTATTATAAATCAAGTTATTGAATATTTTAAATAAATCACGAAATTCAAAACTTCCTATTATTCAATAAAGACCTAAAATTTTTAATAACAAAACAAAAACCAATTAATAGATATTTAAAAAAAATTAATATAGAATGAACCTATGCAATTCGATCTTAATCTCGTTATCAACTTCTACTTATACATTAAAAAATTTATAAGTAAATGAGTAAACAGGAGAATTCAGAACATAGTGTCATGGGATAAAATTAGCTCCTTCTACATTAAAAGAGTAAATGAGTAATTTCATTAGCGGATTTGAGTATTTTTTATTTTTTTTAGTACAATATTGTAGGGGAGGGATATTGAACTCACAATCTTTTGATTGGAGATATATATCAATTAACGTTGAGTTGTACTCGCTTTGACGATCTGAGACTTAAATAACGATACTCTCTCTCACTATGAGATTATTAGTTGAAAGTTAAATTTCAATATGTATTAACTTTTAAGTTAGTTTCAAGATACTCCCATCGTTTGAAAATTTTCACTTATTTTCTTGACCTTTAAAATTAATTCAAATTGTCAGTTTGAGGTTAGCTTTAATTATACTCCTAATGTGGTTGTCGAGTTATAAATGAAGCAGTGGTAGACTAGCTTTTCTAAAATGAACGACACACGTAGCAAAAAAGAGTGGCACATTTGAATAATATTTTTTAATAAATTTTAAATTTCAAAGATAAAATTGAAACATTTTAAATGATAGAAGTATAATTGAAACTAACTTCAAAATTTCAATGGCATTTCGAATCATTCAACCTGAATTGATAGTTTTAACGTACATTTGTAAATATATATATTTTTTTCCTTTTGTTGAGAACACAACATCCTAGTTGAGGGTTGGAGAATCGAACCTTTGACCTATCAAAAAGGTATTTTTTTTTTTGTCATTTCAATAACTTTAGAGTGGTTTTTGCATCATTGTCAATGAAGAAAAGAAAGAAAGAAAAAAAAAAACAAAAGGGAATTGTGCTCCCAATGGAAGGAAAAATCAAAGTGCAAGAAGTCCCTTTTGGTTTTGGAATGAGATGGATTACACGTCCACCTTTGATTATGTTTTGGTGAGTAATCTATCGCTTTGAGTTCCTTATTAGAAACTTTAAAAAGAAGTTGTGAGGATTGATTAGGATCGAGAGTTGGTTCATTTTTTCCAATCAAACACCTAACTAATTCCATGACTCCTCGCTTACCTTCAATAATGCAATTCCTCCAAACCCACTTTACTCCTTTTCATTTTAATCAAATATATATCCTATCAATCGTCGCCTCACCTCAACGGGTTAATACACCTATTTCTGACTGAAAAGGTCGTGAGTTCAAATCCACAATACCCCACAAGTTGTACTTGTCTCTGTTCTTTCAAAACGTCTACTCGCTAAATTTCTTGAAACATAGTCACAAATGTTTATTAAAGGGTTTCGATTGTGTATGAAAATTTGTGATAAAATTTTACAAATAAGAACCAAAATGGTAACTTTTAATTAATAGTAAATGAATCAAAATAGACATTTCAAAACTATAATGACTAAAATGAACCAGAGTTGAAAGTGCGGAAATCAAAATGAACTTCTTTCAAAGTAACAAAAACCAATAGTAAAATAATCAAAATAGAATTTAAACCGTATTATTGATGTTGTTCGAGACGCCTTTGTTTAATTACTCTTTTCCCAAAAAAAAAAAAAAGATACGTTTGGTGGATAACGGGTTTAAGAAGAAATAATTGAGAGTGGTTGTTAACAACCTTATTTTTCATTTTGATTATGTTGTTCATATAATATAATCGACAGTGACAAAGCAGTACTTTTCATCTAACCAACTTCTACGTTGATATAATTTGTATAGATGAAGATGCTTTTCTTTTTTTAAAAAATAATAATAATAAAACACATATGTCTCATTTTATTTGAATTTTTGGAAATTTAAATCTCAGCCAACTCGAAACGTGGGGAAAGTGAAAAAAGAAAAAATAGTTGAATTTTGGGAGAATTGAGTTCGAATCTCATGACATATTTAAGAGGTAAAAATCTCTATTGATTTTTTACGATGTTAAATTTGATTAAATGGTTTTCTTGTAAGATTAGTCAAGCTCGCTAGCTAGTTTGACCAAAAAAAAAAGATTTTTTATACTAGTTAAATTCCTGCCCACTTTATTAATGTAAGCTTATCATTAAACAATTTAAATTTAAATGTTTATTGACGAGATGGGTGTAATTGGAAAAAGTTATAACATAATCCACTAAATTTAAAATTTTTAAACAGCTTGAAAATTGAAAAAGCAGACAAAATATTAGAGATTAAAACGTAGGTTCAATTGAAACCTTAGTAACATTTTTTAATTAGTTGTAGGGTCATCGAGTGTCCAGCCTTTGATTGAAATTTGGTAATATTCTATAAAAAGAAAATAATTTTGTTTAATAAAGGTATGTTTACTTTTCATATTTAAATAGTTTAGTATTAATTAATTACGATGGTTTCTGTTGTTCCTCATGTTATAAAAAAGGAGGTATTTATAAAAATAGTATAAAATAAATATATATATTTTTTAAAGAATTTTGAAGTTTTACCAAAATATCATAATTCGATTTTTTTTTAAAAAAAGAAGCATGATCCACGTCCAAACTCAAATTTAATTATAACACCAAACACAATAGAAAAAGTATGCTTATGCTATGCTTGAAAAAAAAAAAGAATAAACTAAAAGTTGTAACATTATCTCAAACATATATTATGCTATATAGTGAAACTCTAAAAAAAATAAAATAAATAAAATAAAATTTCTAAGATAATTGCATACTCAAAATTTTCTTCTTGTGTTGGCTTATTAGTCTAAAGGGATCAAGGTAAATCAAAAAAATTTAGAGAGATTGGTTCAAACTCTATGGCCACTTGTCTAAAAATTAATTTCTTATATGCGTACAAATTGACCCGGACACTCATAAATTTAGGAAAAAAAACAAGGGCACTTTATCAACAAATTTAGTTTTCTATTTTATTTTAAAAAATATATTTTTAAAATTGTATCCATATATAAATAATTGTATAATAACAAATAGTAGAGGTACACGACCATATCAATGATTACTATGATTATATAATTAACTAATGTCTAGATGAATCTATGATTATTTTTTTTAGTACAACATGTGGGGATGATGATCGAACTCAAAACCTCTTGGTTTGAGATATATGTCAATTACCGCTGAACTATGCTCGTTTTGGCCTAGATGAATCTATGATTACTACGAGTATAGTCAATTAATATATAAGTTACTCATGAATTATACAAACCAACGATTATAATACAAAATATTTAAGTTAATATTTTTAATATTGTTTGCAATGTCTCTATGTGTATTCCATATTAGAAACTTTGTTGATTTTTTCATTCATATTTGTCATCCGCTCGCTTTGGCTACATATTATCAGACGTTGATGTTAATAACTTTTAATTTTCCATGATAAAATTTGAACGCAATAAAAACTTTTTCTTTTTCATATTTTAGTACAACAAGTGAGAATTTCGAACTAATGACTTATTGATCAAAATAGTACCAACTACCGCTKAACTAAATTTATATGGGTGGAGAAAGAAAAACTTTTTCTAGAGTATATTMAATATAAAATAAATAAAAGTAAAAGTAAAAAACAATAGGAACAATATAATATCAATTTACCTATCTCTCAAAAACATAAATAGACGAAGAAACAGGAAAAGCATATCAAGTGCCTCATCTCTTCATTTGTAATGTATCATTATTTAAGAAAAATAAAGGCTAAATTATTTGAAGGAAAAAAAAAACCCTCAATTTTGTCATTTGTTCAAGACTACCCATGACATTTCGAAAGTCTCAAGATCACCACTCTTGACTTTTCTTAAACGTTTCAAAAATATTCTTTGAGCAAAAACGTTCGTTAATATTTTGGATGAAAA